ATGTGAGAGTTTATCCCTGTCATGAGGCTCTCATAAGGCTGTTTTGTTTTCTTTTAGCTTGGGTTTATATATATGTGTGCTTTCAATTTTGCAGTCACAAGGTGTGTTGTACTGATTCTGTGTTTTCCTGCATTCTTGGGAATTGCATGGTTTTTCTTTTTTCTTCTTCTGTAGAGCTGATCTGGAAGCAGCATCATTTTTAAGGGATTGGATGTCTGGGAAAGATTTTAATTCTCCATCACTAATGAAGCTGAGCTTGGCTGGATAGAAAATTCTTGGTTGAAATTGTTTATCCTTGAGGACTTTGAAAGTTGGACTTCAGTCCCTTCTAACTTGTAGTGTTTCTGCTGAAAAGTTTGCTGCTATTCTGATTGGTCTTCCCTGGTAGGTAGTCTGACCTTTCTCTCTTGCTGCCTTTAGGATTTTTTATTTTATACCTACTTTGTGTAGGTGAATTACTATGTGTCTAGGGGTTGGTCTTCTCATTTGATGTCTTGCAGGAGTTCTCTGAACCTCTTGCATTTGGATGGTTGCATCTCTGGTGAAATGGGGTGTTTTCTTGGTTATTCTCCTGGAATACTTGTTCCAAGGAGTTCTTTGTTTCCCTTTCTTCTTCTGGGATACTGATCAGGTATAAATTTGCCTCTTGATACAGTCACATATCTCTTGGAGGCTTTGTTCTTTCTTTCTGAGTTTTCTTTCTATGTTTTTGACAGGTTGGGTTAATTTGATGTTTTGGTCTTCAAGTTCTGAAATTCTTCTTCTGCTTGGTTGATTCTGCTTTCAATGCTTGTCATCTTGTTATTTATTGCCTGGATGAAGCTTATTACAGCCCAAATCTCTGTTACAAGTTCTGTCAGTATTGCATCATGTCTTTCTTGAGTCTTATTCACTCTTTCAGCTCATTCCCTAATTCCTGTTGTATTATGGGGCCAATTGTTGGTGATTTCTGTTGTTGGGCTCTAAGGTTTGATTTTTTTGGATGTTATCACTTTGGTACACTGGGAATTACCTGTGTTCTTTCATTGATTTTTCCTCATTTGTGACAGATCTATTTCTTTTCTCTTTAATTCTGTTATTCATGATAGTGGGCAGGGCTTTCACTTCTGTTGTTTGCTCAGCCCTATATTAGCCCTGATCAGAGTCTCTGATTTGTTCTGTTTTGAAACAGGGCTGGAGGTGGGAAGCTTTGCTGTTTCTTGTAATTTTGAGAGTCAAATAAGGGAGAGGGTGGGGAGCTAGGATTCAGAAACTACTTGCAAGTTACAATGTTCACTGACCAGTGTATGTGCCTCCTAAGACCCATTCTCCACCACCACTCTCTATGATGATGCAATGGGATATGTGTATACCCCCTGAGTCCAAGATAAAGTAACAATAAGGAGAAGGACAGAGGAAAGTAGAATGAAATAGAATGGACAAAAATAATAAAATAAACTAGAACACAGAAAAAAAAGCAAAAACAAGAACCAAAAAAAACCCCGAAAGACAAAAAGAAAACAAAAAACAAAAACCAGAGCCAACAGAATAGAGAACACAAAAAGACAAAAAAACAGGAAAACCAAACACACACACAAATACACATGCACACACAACAAAAAATGAAAGAGAAAGAAGAAAAAAGGGAGGAATGCAAATTGAAACTCACACACACTTTCACATACACTAACCAAAACAAAAGAAGAACAAAACAAACAAAAAAAGGTGGGGGGGGCAATGCAAAAACCCTCACATACATATTCACACACACACACTGAACCAGGACAAAAGAAGATTAAAAAAAAAAGAAACAAAAAGAACAAAAAAAAAAAAAAGAGGAGGAATGCCAATCAAATCCATACACACATTCACACACACATGCTGACCTCTGAGAGAGGGGGGATCTTCCTTGTCCTTTTCTGGTGTCATGCTTTGTCCCACGGGTGGATCCTGAGACTCCGCACTCATTCTGTCCCTCCTGCTTTCTGGATATTCCTTCTGGGCCACGATCAACCCCTGAGTTGTAAACCCACTGGTCACAGGGAGTGGGTCTGTTGTTCCAACGTGAGCAAGCTGGAACACTTCCCTGTCCAGTTTTCAAGATGATGGTGGGGGCCTTTTTCATCTTCTCCAGTGGGATTCTCCTTCTAGCTCCCTCACTGTGCCCCCTCTGCAATCCTCGCTGCCAGTGTCCAGCCTGGTTCTGCAGTGGTTGGGCAGTCTGGCAACAGCCACTACTCCTGGCAGCTTTTCCCTGGGAAAAGATCTGTTGATTTTAGAACATGGTGCTCAGCTTCTACATCCCAGGAGGCACTAAGGTCCAAGCAGAGCAATTGCCGGCACCAGCCACTTCACCAGGAGAGCCCTTGCTCCCAAATCCTTATTCAGTCAGCCACTCACATGCCCACTTACAAACAGACATGCATGAAAATTCGTCTTTGCACTCATTTACTCACACAGACTTGCACAATCCAACTGGCTCCACCACCATCTTTTTTTCCCAGTCCTACTGTTATTTTGTTCTGCTCTTTTCTGATTTGAACTATCTATTCTTTCCTGTCCTTCATTTAATTTGGAAACTGTACTAAGAAAAGTTTTAAAAATTAAAAATTCTACTCATAGGCTGGGCTTGGTGGCTTTGGGAGGCCGAGGCAAGTGGATTGCCTGAGCCCACGGGTTCAAGACCCACCTGGGCAACTTGGCGAGACTTCATCTCTACAATAAATAAAAAATTAGCTGGGTGTGGTAGTGCGGGCCTGTAGTTCCAGCTACTTGGAAGACTGAGGCAGAAGGATCACTGGAATCCAGCAGGGTGAGGCTGTGGTGGCCAGGAGCATGCCACTGCACTCCAGTCTGGGTGAGAATGAGACTCCAACTCAAAAAAAAAAAAATTCCACTCATAGTTATCTTCTTTTTTTCTGTCACTTTCTCTCCTGTTACATGAAAACAAGTTTTCACATATTTTCCCTCTCTTAGATTCTATTTGTCCATTGCTTTTCCCTTCATCCCAATAAGGTGAGACCTTTAGAATGTTTGTATGTTTTGCATCTGGTTATCTAGTTACTAGAATTTGCTAAGATGGCTTAATATTTTGAACTTCGTAGTTAGGTTTTCCCTTGAAGTATGTTTCTTCTATTAAAGCATCTTTGACTTTAGCCCTCTTCCATCCCCCACAGGTAGTCATTTCACTTCTAACTACTGTTCTTTTTCATGAGGTTTCATCATAAAGTCTCTGTCTTAATTACATTCTTAAGTGCTTCACTCAGATGGGGCATACAGGTGATACGTTTTTTGAATCCTTGTGTAATTGTACAGGTATTTTTATTTTACTCTGTATTTATAGGTATCTTATTTTACAGTCAGTTGATATCTAGCATGACAGAGAGTATGGATTCAGTTGTGTGTAATAAATATTATATAATTATTCATCTGCAGACCTGAGCCATATTCTCCAGAGTAGCTTTTATTGGTAACAAGCTAAAACTTTAATCTCTATGTACTGTGTCATCTCTCTCATTCTGAATTTAGGCTCAAGAAAAAAGGGAACATGGTTGCCTCTTTAAAACAACAGTAAATAATAAATAAACAAATTTGAAGTGTTTATATTTCTCATATTGAAATATCATATGTATATATATGAATAAGCATGAATGATAACCTGAGTACATTAATAACTATATAGGTGTTAATATCTATTGATCCAGTCACTGAACTTTGAAGTCCTTCAGGGTTAGGAACACAATTTAACCATTTCTGTGACTCCAATATATTTGCTAGAAAACAAAATATATTCTCTTCCCACCTTCCCTGTTTCCCAGCCCCTCCAATCTAAAATTGATCCTGTTTCTGGTACAACGAGATCCCAGATGGAAAAAAAGGCATATACTGATTTTATTAATTCCAGGTCTCAAAAATATTTCAATAAACATAAAAGTTTTGCCTTCCATTTATGGTTTCCCTTATTTAATTTAAAACTATATTGGTAATACTGTCACATAGTTTAAAATTGAAGTGCTATAATATGGTATTTGTTAAGCAATCTGACTTCTATCCTTATCTCTGTTAATTATATACCTGTTTTGCCCTGCAGAGTTCATTCATTCAACAAATATTTAGTGAGACATTGTTCCATATGCTAAGAGGCAGTGATTAAAAAATAAAAAGCAAAAAAGAGACAGTCAATAAACAAAACAAATTAGTTATATAGACTATTTGGAGATAAGTACTATGGAGGAAAATAAAGCAGGAGATAAGGAGTATGGGGGGTGGGAGGCAGGGGCTAGGGTTGTAGAAGAAAACCTCATATGAACAAGGGCAGACACCTGGGGGAAGAATCCCTACTTCCTTGTGAGGGAACAGCCTGTGTAAGATCTTGAAGTGGGAGAGAGTGCTTGGTGTGTTTAGCAACAGCAAGGAGGCCAGTGGGAATTGCAGCAGAATAAGCAAGGGGAAGAGTTAGAAAAGATGAGTCATAAGGTGGAGGGAATGGGGCTTCAGCAGGAGTCCAGCTTTGTATGACTTAAAATACGTTTAAGAACATTAAGACATAGACACTTAACTTGTTTGAAGATGGGCTTAAGGTTAAGCATTCTATTCTTTTTTTATAATTGTATGAAATGTTTCCTTATTTTTTTATACAGTCAGACAAAATGTTATCATATTTGGTTAGGTATTCATAGTGCATTATTTTGTATCTAATATGATTTTTAAAATATACCAAAAAACCCATTTATATAACTCTCTTGATATTGTAGAGACACAACAACATTTATCCTATAAACTAATTGTTTATAGTGATGTTTCTGGAGTGACATGATTTGACATGTACTGTATTCACATCTTTGAGACAATAAATTTAAAGTGACACTTTTTTCTGAGGTATAATATTTAATTAAACTGCTAAACAACAATCAGTAGCATGTAGCCTTCTTGTTACTTAACTTATGAGAAGGTTCATTTCGTTCTTGTAAAATGTAATTCAAGAATGTTCAAAGTTTAACTCTTCCTTTATTCCCTCCTAGTGCTACTCAGATTCTTGAAGGGTACCCTGTCCTTTACTACACAAGGTTTGTCATTTTTGAATACAGATATTAAAGCATCCTGGTTGGTATGATGACAATTCTTACAATGGTAAAAATTTTAAAACAAATTGAATTTTCATTTCTCCTTTTAGATTTAGAAAGTTGTTCAAAGCCAAATTGGGATTACTTGGAGAAAGGGATGGTGATGATGATTTAATTGCATTTCTCTTACATGTAAGTTTATTGCTATCCTTTTTTCTCCTGATCATCAATTGAATTACTGTTCAGCATATTTTTGAAGAATTGAGATTCACACATATTATTATTTTCATTAGCTCATGGAAAAGACGGAAGCTGATTTTACAATGACATTTCGGCAGCTCAGTGAGATTACCCAAAGCCAGTTATTGGAACTCAACATTCCTCAGGTATTAATTTGTAACATTTGGCTTTTTCATAATTCAGCTATCTTTTTTGGAAGAGGTGGTAGATCACTCTGTCACCCAGGCTGGAGTATAATAGCATGCTTTGGCTCACTGCAGCCTCCACCTCCTGGACTTAGGTGATTCTTCTGCCTCAGTCTCCTGAGAAGCTGGGACTGCAGGCATGCTTTGTGATTTTTTGTATAGATGAGGTCTTGCTATGTTGCCTAGGCTGGTCTCAAATTTCTGAGTACAAGTTATCCTTTTGCCTAGGCCTCCCAAAATGCTGGAATTACAGGCATGAGCCAGCTTGCCTGGCCAATTCAGCTTTTTTTTTTTTTTTTTTTTCCCGAGTTGGAGTCTCACTCTATTGCCCAGGCTGGAGTGCAGTGGCACACTCATGGCCACCCCAGTATAGACCTGCTGGGCTCTGGTGATCCTTCCGCCTCAGCCTTCCAAGTAACTGGAACTACTGGTGCATGCTACCATGCCCGGCTAATTTTTAATTTGTTGTAGAGACAAGGTCTCGCCAAGTTGCTCGGGCTGGTCTCAAACCCATGGACTCAGGGAATCCACTCATCTTGGCCTTCCAAAGTGCTGGGATTACAGGCTGAGCCATCGAGTCTGGCAATTCAGCTTTCTTTAACAGATTTATTGATGTGTAATATACATACCGTTTTAAGTATGTAATTCTATTATTTTTAATAATTAATGGAATAGCTGGGCATGGTGGCTTTTGCCTATAATTCCAGCACTTTGAGAGACTGAAATGGGAACATCATTTGAGGCCAGGAGTTTGAGACCAGTCTGGGCAATATAGTGAGACTCTTTCTCTACAAAAAATAAAAAAAAGAATTAGCCTAGCATGATGATGTGTGCCTGTAGTCCTAGCTACTTGGGAGACTGAGGTGGGAGGATCCCTTGAACCCAGGAGATGGAGGCTGCAGTGAGCTATGATTGTGCCACTGCACTCGAACCCGGGAAACAGAGCAAGACCCTGTCTTTAACAAATAAAAATAAAAAATAATTACCAGATTTGTGCAATTATCACAGTTCAATTTTAGAACAATTCATCACTTTAAAAAGATATCCTGTGCTCATTTCATTTGCAGTCCATCCCTGTTTTTACTTCCAGTTCAAGCAACTGCTAGTCTACTTTCTATCTCTAAAGGTTTTCACTTTCTAGATATTTCATATAAATTGAATGATACAATATTTGATCTTTTGCATCTGGATTATTCACTTAGCATATTTTTGAGGTTCATCTATATTATAACCTTTATCAGTAGTTCTATCCTCTTTATTACTGAGTAGTAGTCCACTGTATGGATATACAATATTTTGCTTATCTATTTTCCTTTTGATAGACATCTGAGTTGTTTTCATTTTTGGCTATTATTATGAACATTTATATAGAAGTTTTTATGTGGAAATATGTTTTTATTTCTCTTGGGTAGATATTAGGAGTCGAATTGCTGGGTTGTTTAGTAAATTTATGTTTAACTTTTTAAGAAACTGCCAAACTGTTTCCAAAATGGCTGCACTTAATTCAGTTTTAAGAATGTGTTGCCTTTTTATTTCAATGCTAATAAATAGCATTTATGTAATAATATGGGCACTACCAGAAGATCCTACTTATTACAGAGTTTTAGAAACAGATCAGTTTATAAGGCCTGCATCTTTTAGGTTACAGCATTGTTTTTATTATTTTAAAACATGAAAACCCCAGTTTTTTAGAAGTTTCTTCATTACATTTCATGACATTATCTATATAATATTATCATTTTATAACTTGTCTGTTTGAATTGATCCTCATTTAGACATTTATTCAACAAGTACTTTTTATTTTATTTTATTTTTTTTGAGTTGGAGTCTCACTCTGTCACCCAGACTGGAGTGCAGTGGCCACTCCCCGCCACCGCAGCCTCGACCTGCTGGGCTCTGGCAATCCTTCCGCCTCAGCCTTCCAAGTAGCTGGAACTACAGGCACGCACTACCATGCCTGGCTAAGTTTTGACTTATTGTAGAGATGTGGTCTTGCCAAGTTGCCCGGGCGGGTCTCGAACCCGTGGGCTCAGGCAATCCACTCACCTTAGCCTCCCAAAGGCACGGGATTACAGGCTGAGCCACCAAGCCCGGCTTCAACAAGTACTTATTGAGAACTCACTATTATTGAGAGCTTTTTCTGGGACAGGCAGTATACTAACTATTGCAAAGGTTGCTACAGATCATGCTAAGTATAAGGAAAATTATTGTCCTTACAGGTATGGAATAGCTGTAAATTGCATTTTTATGAGTGATGTGAATAAAAGAATATGTACTATTCAATAGGAAATACAGAAATACATTAAAATTTAAACCAATAAGCATCTTTGATATAAATTTTAAAATATTACTGATTTATCTATCACAACCAATTATCATTTAATTAGTGATAAACACTAATTATAATTTAATGTGTGGAAAATTGAGACAAAGAAATGTTAAATTAACTTTCTTAAGTTCATGACAGGTATAAATATTTAAATTACCAAGATTTGGGAAAATTTGTGAGAAGTGGTCATTACACTTTTAATCATTTTAATAGTTAATTTCTGTCTTTTCAATATGAAACCTTATCTCCCTAACTCTGTAAGTAGAGCTAATTGCTTATGTCTTTGTGTTCCTTAGCTTTTTGTATTATTTCTGTAGCACTTCTTATAAGGCATTGAATTATTTGCTTGCACACTTTCCTTCTTAAAGTCAGGGTCTGTGTCTTATTAATTTTTATATTCTTCCTACCTGAGCATAGTTCCTAGCATGTAGCCGACATTTCATAAATATTTACTAAATTATTTAATAGATAACTAATACTCTTGCAAATTAAGTTTTTAAAAATAAAGTATACATTAAAGGAGTTCCCTATATAAAAGAAGGCTTTTGATAATATAAGAATTCACCATATAATCTCTGTTTATAAGAATTTTGTATGTTTTTTATTTCTCTTAAATCATGCCATTAAATAGATTTCTGTGAATTAGAATTTGAGTTGAATAAGAAAAAGGAAAATTTGGGGGGAAATTACTTCTACTTGAAACAGCATTCTTGATAAAAAGCTGGATAAGTTATTATTGAAGAACATAAACAATGTAAAGGATCATGAAGTTAAAATAAACTGAGAGAATATTAATATAATAATATATTACTGTATTTCATTTAGAAATTTTGGGCACTGAAGACAGTTTCAAAGCACAAACTCTTTCCTGCCTGGGTGTCCCAGTACCTTTTGAGACTGAAGAGGTAAAACCATCTAATCACTTCCAAATAAGCATGTGATGCACTATTATTTTTATTTTATTTTATTTTTTGAGTTGGAGTCTCACTCCATTGCCCAGGCTGTACTGCAGTAGTGTGCTCATGGCCACCCCAGCGTCGACCTGCTGTGCTCAGGTGATCCTACCACCCCAGTCTTCCAAGTAGCCAGAACTACAGGTATGCGCCACCATGCCCAGCTAATTTTTTTATTTATTGTAGAGATGAGGTCCCGCCAAGTTGCCCAGGCTGTTCTGGAACCCATGGGCTCAGGCAGTCCTCTCACCTTGGCCTCCCAAAGTGCTGGGATTATAGAGTGATGCATTATTTTATCATTGCCAGCCTATCGGGTCTATCTCTCTCTTCTTTCCATTGTTCAGCATTTTTTTTTACCCCTGGGTACTTTGTCCTGTCTGAGGCATCTGCTGTAACACCTCACCTGGGCAGAGAATAAGTGTCTATTCACCTCCAGCCTGGTAAATACAGCTCCCAGCTTTCCAAAGCCCCATCCCTGAAGCTCTGAAGGGGGAGTTTCTTAGGCTTTTGTTCAGTGTCTATTTATTGTCACATTTTATATGATTGCAAGAAGTTATATAACTCACAATGAATTAGAAGCAACCAACATGAAAGAGTAAAGAAATTATAAGTTGTAGGCACAAACAGCTGAAGGGAGAAGGAAGAGACAGGAAGACCACAGGATGGGCAGGAACCAATAGCCCTTCATGGTTTAGTGGTCACTGAGGGCTATTTGTAAAGGGGGCCCTGAATAATGAAGAAAAATTTGAATTCTTTCCAGAAAACTATGTTTAAGACAAGGAAAGAGATCAGACAGTTCAGATTTCTTTTTCGACAAAAAATATTTTTTAATTGGTTAAAATAAAAGGATTGATATTACCTAAAATAACGAAACAAGGTGGTATTTTATATGTTGTTTAATCAAACTCATTATTTTCTATCTTCCTTTCAAACACTGATTCAATGTGATTTTTGAATTTTTTCCTCATTATTTGTCTTGTGAAAGAATGCTTTCATATTTGAAAAAAAGATACAGTGTAGGGAGATAGTGGTTCATTTTATTCTTTGTTTTATTTATTTTTAGTAACATAAATGACTCAGATTCTGAAAGAACAAAAAGAATGACAAGTAAGTAATCCTTTTGATTGTCTCAACATTGAGGTTTATCACATAAAAGCAACATTTTTTGAAAGCCAAAGTAAAGACTTAAGTCAACTGAATTTGTTTGTTTGATTGATTGATTGATTGATTTTGAGTAAGACTATCACTCTGTCGTCCAGACTGGAGTGCAGTGGCACGCTCACAGCCACCACAGCCTCAACCTGCTGGGTTCAGGTGATCCTTCTGCTTCAACCTTCCAAGTAGCTGGAACTACAGGCATGCACCACCACGCCCAGCTATTTAAAAAAAAAATTATTGTAGAGATGAGATCTCGCTAAGTTACCCAGGCTCGTCTCTAACCCTGGGGACTCAGGCAGTCCTCATTTCTGCCTCCCAAAGTGCTGACATAGGCGTGAGCCACCACACCTGGCCATTTTGTTTTATTTTTAACTAGAATAATTCTAGGTAAGAATATTTTAGTTGGGTTGAAGTACCGTGTATGGGCTTTTCTAATTTTAGCAGATGGCCTTTAACTTAGAGTATGACAGCTCTGCTGTCAATAAGTTTGCATACTAATGTTAAAATAATATTGTTTTAAAAGATGGTGGCAAGATGAAGGTGGGAGATGGTAGAAAGAATATAGGTTTTGGAATCTGGCAGATGAATCTCATCTCTGCTACTTTTTAGCTGTATGATCTTAAAGATATTTAACTATTCAAGTCTCAATGTCCTTAGCTGTAATAAAATGGGGATATTGTGCAGCGATGTTATAATGATGAGCAAGAGTATGTATCAGGAGTCTTGTTACAGAATCTGGGCCATAATATCCATACAATAAATAATGGCTATAAAACTAAATGACTTTTATTTATTAATTTTCAGTTTACTATGTAACTTCACACTTGGCTTGGAGAAGAATAAAATGGAAGGTAGTTCTTTTGCAGTGCAAGTTCTAGCAAGATCAAAGAAATTAGGACAGAAGGACCTAAGTCTTTGAGTGCTCCTGTCCTAGGACTTGTAAAACGAGAGCTAATGTGTATCATTGGGGTGACTGATTCATGACCATGAAATAAGGATGATGCTAACATCCCATGTTAGGTTAGGAAATGAGACTGCTTCTTGAACTCAGGACATTATTGTAGAGATAAAAGCTAGTTTAATTTTTACGGTAGAGTGAGTGATCTGTTTGGAGTTCAGCATGGATTTAGTTGCCAGTCACTTATACCCATTTGGGCAATCATAGAGCACTTCTTTGTTAGCTCAGAATGTGGACAGTCCCAGCAATTGAAAGAAAGAAGAAAATATGATGGAAATCTTTAGTATTTGGATTTGTTTGGTTATGATAGAGTGAATGAGATAGTAAAATGAAAGAAATTAGTGAGCTCAAGTCTGCAGCTTTGCTTATGTTATTTTTGAGAAATAATAAATGCTAAATAATTTGCTCTCAAGGAAGGGAAAAAAATCAATTTCCATAAAGAACACTGGCATGCTAAGAATTCATAATGAAAGTTCATTTATTTTTTAAAGGTATACTTCCATACATTTTTTATATATTTAATTGACCTGTAAATGGAACTATATAAAATTGGTTGCACAAAGTTATGTTACAAGATGTGCTGGAGATGTAGAGTTAAAAATTATATAGGCGTAAAGAAATAAGCATAAGAAAAAAAACATACACTGAGTTCAGAAATCTCATCTTCAGTCCCTTATGGAGTCCATTCTTTTCTGTGAGCTCTTTTCTTAATGACGGCCATGTATGCTCTGTAGTTAGACCAGCTGTGTGTGAGTTCTGGGTCTGCCATTTATTTCCTAGATGATATCAAGCCTGTCACTTGATGCCCTGCTTCTTTCTCTCTCCCAGGTGTGTTATTTTCAACAGCTGTTATTGAGGTATAATTTACATACCATAAAATCAATTCATTTTACGTGTTAGAGTGATTTCTTTTTTACTAAGTTTAAAAAGGCCCATGTAATCACGACAGTCCAGTTTTAAAACATTTCTATCCACTTAACCTGTCTTGACTTTTGCTTCCTCATTTATATAATGCATTTATACCATGGATTGTTATATAAATTCAATAAGATAGTGGTTGGCATGTAGTAAGTACTCAATAAATATCAGTTATTGTACTATTATGGAATGCATTAAGCATCCTTTTTACAGGAATGTTGGGAACATGGGATGAATATAGTGTTTTTTAGAAACCAGAAGACTAAAAATATGTTACTATTTTGTTTAGTTTCAGAACATTTTTAAAAAGCTCCGTAGTAGAGTAGGAAAGATTTACTGTTAAAATTTTTTTTAGAAATGCTTTAGTTGGCCTGTAATTCTGTGCCTTTGGGAGGCTGAGGTGAGTGGATTGCCTGAGCCCGCGGGTTTGAGACCCGCCTGGGCAGCGATACCTCATCTCTACAATAAATCAAAAAATCAGCTGGGCATGGTAGCGCATGCCAGTAATTCCGGCTACTTGGAAGGCTGAGGCGGAAGGATCGCCGGAGCCCAGCAGGTCGAGGCTGCGGTGGCTGGGAGCGGCCACTGCACTCCAGTCTGGGCGACAGAGTGAGACTCCAACTCAAAAAAAAAAAAAAAAAAAAGAAATGCTTTAGTTGCAAGCAATGGGAACATAAAAGATGAGTATTTTAAAGATCTTGGAAATATGTATTTTTAAATGCCCAATACTTACTATTTTTAGGCCCCCAAATGACTCTAAGATCATAAGCAATTAGTGGCCATTGGTCATTTTTCTTTCGTGGTACATGTGCCCAGCCTAGGATAATAGCAAAACTATGTTTAATAAATGCTTTTGATTTCTATGACACTCTGACAGCCACTGTTGTTTTTATGTTCAAAGATGATAATGTCTCTGATGACAGTGTTTACCTGTGTAACTACAAAGATTGGTAGGGAAATACTAATTTCTGCAGTTATTAGAAAGAAGAAGATAGGCTCCCAAGAGAAAACAACTGATGTCCCCAAATTAAATATTTCCATTTATTTAAAGTATGTTGCTCTATGTAACATTAGTGTTTATTAATATGATTAGGTTTATATTGCCAGGGAGATTTTAAAAAAAAACCTGAAATATGTTCATTAGCAATAAAATTAAATTGGTTATGATTCTTTCCCAGAACTAACCTGATTTATATTTCAAACATATATTAAGTCCCTATGTTCCTGTGTGCCTTTTTGCCTAGTCACATTGTAAAAGCTGAAGCCAAAAAGATGAATTTGATTCTTGCCATTAAATAGACAATAATCTAGTGAATCAATGGTTATCAAGTTATATGGAACTTTGGTTGGACTTTTGTTTGGATATAAACCTCATTAACCACTGCTTAAAACTTTATTGCCAAAAAAAATAACTTACAAACAGAAAATTCCAAACCAGATAAAAATATGCAGAATTAAATAACTCTTTAAAGAATCTTATCTATAAATCTATGATGTGCTGATTTTCAAGTAGTTTGTATATTTATAATTTGGTTCAAAGTACTTCTGCTTTTGTCTGCAATACCTAACATACTTTTACAGTATTTGATTGCCAAGTGTCAAATACTATAAAGTGTCAAATTTGTCGTCAGCCTTTTAACTGGATAACTCTGTTCTTCCTCTCTGCCTAAAGTGAGTGCTTCCACAGTTTCCTTTCCATGTTTGTTACCCTTTTGTGTAAAGATTGCAAGTATATTTTTTGTGTATATGTTTTTTATTTTAAAGAGTTTTGTATCACCTTTTAAAATTTAAAAAATGCGAGAATTGTAGAAAGAATTTTAAAAGATCCCTCATATTCCTGTCACTCAAACACAATTACTGTTCACTTTTTGACTCAATTTTGATTAGAGGTAAACTTCTAATCTTTCTTTTTCTGTCTGTTTATTAGGAGAAAATGTAGTAGTAATGATACTATGGTATACTTTTAGAATTTTTTCCACTAAAAATGAATTAAGCATTTTTCTTGCTACTTCAGTATTTATAATATAACTTTTTAATGGCTTTGTAATATTTCTTTGAAAGCATATGGAATGTTTTACTTAACAATTCCCCTATTATTAAGTATTTATGCTGTTTCCAGTTTTTCCTTAATATAAATAATGTTTTTTAATGTTTAAATTTGTTTCTTTAGTCTATATTCCAAGAGAAATATAATTACTGGATCACAGGGCACTTACTTGTTTAGATTGTTTATCATGTTGGCAGATCTTTAATGACAAGTTGAAATGGAATTTGTACTCTAGTCAAGTAATTTGGAAACTTCAGTTGAGAACCATGTAACTGATTTTTATAGTCCTCAGAATTTTTATTGTACTAATAGGGATACCATCCTCTGTCCCTGACCAGTTAGTGAAGCATTTTGGAAAAGGCTCACCTCAAATGAAGACATAGTTCATAGAATTTTTTAAAATGTGTCATTATAATAAGATTTTTTTAATATGAAAAAATGCATGGGTACTGTAAAAAATACAGATTTGTGAAGTTTTGCCTACATGTGACCTTTCCTGTTAGTTCCTGGGCAGCATCAGCATTAAGCACAACTACTGAGTCAGACCTTAATTCTATGCTTGAAGATGTTAAAAGCAGCAACTGTTTTTTTTCCCCCCTCCACTTAGGCTACAGGGCATAATTAAGAAGAATTAACTACTTCTCCATGCTTTATAAGATGCTTAGTGAACTGAAAACGGTGAAAAAACCAAATTTGTGATGAGACACTGAAAAAACAAAACATAATACTGATTAAAATGCTCTACAAAGATTTGTTCTGTTCCATAAGATAATAAATGCTGTACATTGTTTATAAACAATTGAAATAGACTGATAATGATAATGTCTTCTCCGTTGAGCCTTCCAGCAAAGTTCTTAAAGGTTATTAAATTCAGTGATTTCATATGGCTTGTGTTGACTTGATTTGTTGTTGTTTTTTGCAATTTATTTAGTTACTGTTTCAAGATGTGTTTTCCCCTTTGCTTAAGCTGTTAATCCTAGATATGTGCTGAAGAACTGGATGGCAGAAGCTGCAGTGCGGAAAGCAGAAAGGAATGATTTTTCAGAGGTGAGAATGTTGACTTTTCTTGGTTAATTTTTATTAATTTAAAATCTATTATGTTTTATTTTTACTTAAAAAAATTTTTTTTTAAATTCAGGGGCTACATGCACAGGTTTGCTACATGATTATGTTGTGTGATGATGAGGTTTGAGTGTCTACTGGTCCCATCACCCAAATAGCGAGCATGGTACCCAATAGGTAGTTTTTCAACCCTGGCCCCCTCCTTCCTTTCCCCCTTTAATAGTCCCCAGTGTCTGGTCTCTCTTTATGTCCATGTGTACATAGTGTTTGCTCCCACTTATAATTGAGAACATGTAGTACTTGGTTTTCTGTTTCTGCATAAATTTGCTTAGAATAATGGCCTCTAGCTGTATTCATATTGCTGCAAAGGACATGGTTTTGTTCTTTCTTATGGCTGCATAGCATTCTATGATGTATATGTTCACATTTTCTTATCTAGTCCACGATAGTCTTCTAGGTTGGTTCCATGTCTTTGCCGTGAAAGAAGTGAATGCAGGTGTGGAAAATACTCAATTTGGCAACATTGGAATCCACAACTGTGGGCTAAAACATAACGTCTCTGTTTCTGAGACACCTCAGGTGAACCTAGTGACACACATAAGAAAGCTTATGAATGACACCATAAGAAAGCTTACTTATTATTAAAAACACAATTAAAACATAAAACAAACAGGTTATTTGAATTGCATATAGTAACTGACCACTCAACTCTGTCTCTGTGTACTCATCTTTGTACGTGAACCTAGGTACAGAATACTAAGTTCAGCATTCGCTTTTACTGGTTCTGAAAACATGCCATTATAACCGTATATGGCCTTATTTTGGGAGAATTCAGGGTTTCCTTCTTCCTTTTCTTTTCTTTTCTCATTACTATTATTCTTTTTAAGGGATCATTTAAAATTTTCATTTTTTTATTCTTTTAAATTTTAGATTCAAGGGGTAAATGTGCAGGACTATTATATGGGTATATTGCATGATGATGAGGTTTGAGCTTCTAGTGAGGCTGTCTCCCAGGTGGTGAGCATGGTACCTTCTCTCCTTTAGGAGTACCCATCTTTATACCCGTGTGTACCCAGTGTTTAACTCCCACTTTTGAGTAAGAACACGCAATATTCAGTTTTCTGTTTCTGTATTAGTTTGCTTAGAATAATGGCCTCCAGCATCCATGTTGCTGCAAAGGACATGTAAAATTGTTTATATTTTAAACATACTTTTTTTGTTTGTAGGCAAACTATTCTGTTGCCAACACCAACTTTCCAGATTTCTCTCTACTCGGTCTCTATTCTTTTATCAGTTGGGTTATTTTTCATATTTTCTACTTATCCTTTATTTTATTTAAAATTCATAATGTGAATTTCTGAAAGTCTCTGCCGTTATTGCTTGTATTTTAGAATTTTGGATTTAAACCTCTGAAATCAGTGATGGATTTGAGAGTGTACAAGGGAAACCCAAAAAAAACCCTGGAATTATTTTTTGTGGGGTAGGCTCCATGTAGTTCACTTGGAATTTGTTCCTCCAGACCAAATGGTCAACCAAACCTTTTATCTGGAAGTTATGAGATGGCTACCTCATGATTTGCAGAAGAAATGGTAACTGGTTCTTCCGCTCTTACAACGCACCTGCCCACACTGAGTGTTCAGCAGTTTTTGACCAAAAATGGCATGACCTCAGTACCCTACCCTCCCTATTCACGGGATCTTGCCCTGGCCAACTTTTTTTTTTGTTGTTTATGTGAATGAAAAAAATCCTCAAAGGAAAATATTTTGCTGATGTGGCAGAGGTGAAACAAGAAACAGCAGAAGCACTAAAAGGCATCAAAACTGATGAATTAAAAAACTGATTTAAGCAGTGGAAAAACATCTCAGTAGGTGTATTGCATCAAACGGAGAGTACTTTGAAGGTGACTGTAGTTTAAACATGTAAGAATAAATTTAGAATTTTTATAAATAAATTCTGGGTTTTTTGGGGGTACCCCCTCCTATCTCTCCAGAGGAAAGCAGTATTTGCTTCTACCAGGTGTCCACGGCACTGCCAGCCGGGATCCACTTTAAATTAACCTTGACAGCAATGAAGATAAACTAGAGCTACATGTATCAGCGTGGATAACTCTCACAAATAATGTTCAGTAAAGCAAGCAAAGGGCAAAAGAATTCATGCAGTGCATTACCCCTTATCTATAGCATAGAAACATTCACAATCATATTGATACCATGTCGTTTGGCTTCAGTCATATTGGAAGTACTACACTGTATTTATGAAGCTGAATGAAGGATACAGAGTTGTTTGTTATATTATTCTGCATATCTTCTCTGCTTCAAACATTTCATAATTGTTTAAAAATATATCATACACCATGAAGTTTTTAGAACAGAAATGACCCTGGCTCTCATGCTGCCTCTCTCCTGTTCTACACCTATAGCAGACATTAATGACAATCACAGCCCTCTTTCTCTCGAATCATTCTCATCACAGCATGCTGTTTAGTCACTACCCACTGATCAGAGTTGGCATGAGAAAGAAACTATTTCTGCTATTTTTAGTTTAGAACTTGCATTAACTTTCTATTTTGTACTTTAATTTGCCTGATAATGATGAAAATAACCTATTTTTAAATGTAATCATTTTATGGTATTAAAAAGAAACAAAGGGAAAGTAGACAAATTTGTCTAAGCTTTGGTTTGGGGAAACCAAACAGTGTTTAATAATTTGTTTTGTTAGCCTGTTTCTCTTTCCTTCTCTATCTTTTGCTCCTTCTCTGTTTCAGTCCCTTCCTTAAAATTATATTTGGGGAATGATATTGTGCCCACTGAGCAGGGTGGGAGGAGGTGTTCTCTTAGGTCCCAGTAAACATTCATATTCATATGACCATCACAGGCAACACACTTGGCTGCACTCAGCTGGTAGAGATGTGGGACAGGGACATAGATTATCAACTGGGCAACTCTGGGTTCCTCATATGCAGGAGTTCTTACAGCACTTGGCTCCAGTGGTAAGGCACAGCAGCACAGCTCAGCATAAGGATATGAGAGGCACCCTGGTTTTCTAAGCCCTGGTTTCTGCTTCTTGCTCTGCAGAAACGAGTATTACTTGTAACAACTCCACAGGCATAGTGTCTAATGTCCTCACAAAAGACCTGCCTTATGGCAAGATTCACCACACTTAGGAAAGCCCAAGCATTTTATCAGTTCTCCCACTCTAGAAGCTGTGATTCATAGGCAGTGTTACATGGGGATACAGTTGACATACCTGGGGATCAGACCTAGAAAGTTAACTCAAGGTCAAAATCTCATGCAGGAGAAGAAAATGATGTTGTCAAATCTTTATAAGTGCATCTCTCTCTCTTATTTATTTATTTGGAGTTGGCATCTCACTCCATTGCCCAGACTGGAGTGCAGTGGCACACACACAGCCACCCCAGTGTCGACTTGCTGGGGTCAGGCAATCCTTCCACCTCAGCCTTCCAAGTAGCTGGAACTTCAGGCGCTTGCTACCATGCCTGGCTAATTTTTTTTTTTTTTTTGAGTTGGAGTCTCACTCTGTCGCCCAGACTGGAGTGCAGTGGCCGCTCCTGGCCACCGCAGCCTCGACCTCCTGGGCTCCGGCGAGCCTTCCGCCTCAGCCTTCCGAGTAACCGGAATTACAGGCACACGCTACCACGCCCGGCTGATTTTTGATTTATTGTAGAGATGAGGTCTCGCTACCCAGGCGGGTCTCGAACCCGCGGGCTCAGGCAATCCACTCACCTCAGCCTCCCAAAGGCGCGGGATTACAGGCTGAGCCACCGAGCCCGGCTGCCTGGCTAATTTTTTAAAATTTATTATAGAGATGAAGTCTCACCAAGTTGCCCAGGCTGTTCTCTACCTGTGGGCTCAGGTATTCCTCTCATCTTGGCCTCCCAAAGTGCTAGGATTACAGACTTGAGCCACCATCTCTTAACACATACAATTTGTGTTCACCTTCTTTCATCAAACATTTCTTGAGACTTCATTCAATGCAAAGTTCTTTAGAGAAGTGAAAAAATCTATTCAAGGAGCCCTTAAACTAGTATATGAGATTGATAGGTATACAACTAATTTAATAAAAGAAGATGTATAGAAAGTACCAGAAATTTCAAGAGGGCATCTAAGAGCACTATATCAGTATTTATGATGATGTAATTTTCGTATTTTAAATATTAGTGATTCAATAATATGATCTATTTGATCTCTTGGCTTTACTTTCTTAGTATAGATAATCATCCACCTTTTTCTATGAGACCTAGACCTTTGCCTCACAATGTCCGAGGAAGTGACAAAACCACTGAAAATATACATTATACATTTTGGGTCTAGATTTATTGTTGAAAGAGATGTGTTCTTTGATGTCTCAGTTTATTACCATGGGCAAAATTCCAATAGAGGAAGCAGCATGAGCTGGAATTCATGCCCTTGATTTGGGAAGACTGCAAACCATTAATATCCTTTTATGTAGTTTTGTAAATATTTTAGAAAAATAGGATTCTCTTAATGCTATGAAGGGATCTTAAACTTGCAAGGATATGTTTGTAGTCTTTGTGACATTGAACATATTCACTCTCTTAGCTTAGTACAAAAGTACTGTAGTAACTAAGGAACTTTCTGTGCACTAACAGAAATTCTATGTAACAACTGTGGTTGAGGCTTCAATAAAACATAACATGTATAAATTAAACAAATTTAAAATTTACCTTGCCATTTTAGAAACTCAGAATATAACAAAAGGTCCTGAGTAAGAAGGTGTATATTTACCTGTCTAAATTGTTTACTAGGTCCATTTTCTCCAGCAAGTTCTTCAGCATCCTTTCCAGAAGCATTCTGCAGCCGAAAAAGCAGGCTACTCTTCACCTACTCCTTCATGGGCTAAAGATCTCAGGGTTAGTTGCTCATCTTAATTCAGGAAAAGTAAATTTAGGGATACTTCTATCATTGAACTCAAATAGAATAATCTATTTAACAGATTCTTAGTGATCATTCACATTTTGATGATAATCCCACATTTGATAATAATTGTATATAAAATATGTTTAGCCAAATAAATTGGAACTTATTATTTAAAACATCCTTGTGATCATTTTTATTCTAGTTGGCCACTTTAATGGAATAATGAAGTGTTTTTGATGAACCATGTGAGTTACCCTCAATGACTAGGAAATCTTTTGACAGTCTTGCAATCAAAATGGATTTATAAATATTCGTCTAGCACTCACTATGTACTCAGCACATAATAGCAGATAGTTTCTGTTATTCATATAGCAAATACGATTTCTTTTTATCACTACTATTTTATTCTTTAGTAGTATCTTGCCAAACAGATTTGTAATTGTCACATATTCAAATATGATAACTTTTAAAATGTCAATTTGAGCTTTTTAATCTGCTTTTGTATTGCTTAAATTTTTAAAAATTTTCTCATATTTTTTTCTTGCACTTTTTTTTTTTTTGGAGTCAGAATCTCACTCTGTCACCCAGGCTGGAGTACAGTGGCATGTTCACAGCTATTGTATACTCGACCTGCTGGGCTCAGGTGATCCTTCCACCTCAGCCTGGCCACCACACCTGGTCATTTATTTATTTATTGTAGGGATGAGGTCTCGCTAAGTTGCCCAGACTGGTCTCTCACCTCCGTCTCCCAAAGTACTGGGATTACAAGAGTGAGCCACCATGCTCAGCTCTAGCACTTCTTAGATTGTTTACTTTTAATCTTTTTGAGATTTGTTGACTCTTTTTCTTCCAAATTGATAGATAATTTCGATAAATAGATTACTATTTATTAGTTTTTCCTTTTTGCATGTTTGGAATATAATTTTTATCATATACTAAGTTTTCATATTTTGAAATGAAATATTCTAATTTTTTTCTTTCCAACTCTTTTAGCAATAGCACTCTATTTTTATTATTTTGACTTTATAATATAGTACATTTCAACAGTTAGTCTGCTATCATTGGTCTTTTAAAATATTTTCAGCAGATAGCAGACCCTCTTGCTGCTGTCCTGTTTGTTGTGCCCTTTACCATGTATCTTCCCTTTAATAAATCTACCTTTCTTAATTAAAATAATTTTTTACCTTGCTACTTAATTATTTTAGATGAATGTCCATTTTTGCTCATCAGGTTTTTAAAAAAATCTTTTGGGATTTTGATTGGGTTTATAATTAATTTATGGACTCAGCTTGGAAAGAATTGACATTTTTACAACATTGAGTCTTCCCTTCCAGGAACATAGTCCAGGCACTTCTTGCTTTGCATGGTAACTGTGCAGTGATAAAAATGACCAAGCTGAAAACCTGAAAAGTGCTCATAATAATCAGTGGCAAAATCATGATTGTGCTGTGACCTTTACAAATTGGGCTGTAATCTTTAAAATCTCTTATCGTTTGCTATAAATGTAAAATAAAAAAATAGTAAAATAATATTTCACTAAGTACATGGTAATTTAAGACATTAGAAACATTGAGAATGAAAGTGTTTGTTTTCTTTGTAAAAAACCTTGTCAAGAGTAGTTTGAACAGTGCTTGCCTTCATTCTTGTCATATTACTTGTAATACAGAGCAGATATCTTTTCTATGCCTTGGTAATTGCCACTATTTGCTCTATAATTCCACTTATGTTCTATTTGAATTTCCCTTTCAGTGTTATTGCTTTTCATTTCGTTGTTGCCGTTTCACTTTTGTTGGCCAATTCCCTCTTTTGATTGTCTATTTTTGTAAAAGATCATATGGACTGACCCATGGGAGACAGAGGCAACCCAACTACATGCTTTTCTCTGTGTAAACTGAATAGCAAATAGGCAGTGATAAGTCACCAACAAACATTCAGAGAAATTATGTGATGAGTCCCTGATCATGATATACATTCATTAGTTAGGTAGTGATTTGTAGACTGAAGAGCTAAGAGCCAAGTTTGTACTTTATGCAATCACTTGCAGTTAAAATGTCACGGCAATGGTAGCTGACATTTGAACCACATTGGGAAACTAGTGTTACTTAATTAAATAATGGTTTATTGGAACTATGTAAAACAGCGACTGCCTGTACCTGCTTTCCTTTTTCTTTTTCTTTTCTTTTTCTTTTTTTGAGTTGGGGTCTCACTCTGTCATCCTGGCTGGAGTGCAGTGGCACAATCATGGCTCATTGCAGCCTCAGCCTCCTGGGCTCAAGTGGTCCTCCCACCTCGGCCTCCCAAATAGTTGGAACTACAGGTATGCACAACCACACTTGGCTAACTTTTTTTATTTTTATTTTTGTATAGACAAGGTCTTGCTATGTTGCCCAGGCTGGTGATGAACTCCTGGCCTCCAAGCAGTTCTCCTGCCTTGGCCTCCCAAAGTGCTGGCATTACAGACATGAGCCACCACACCTGGCCTCTATTTCTAATGTATTCCTTTATACCTGCAATAGTTAGCTAACTATGTTGCCTAGGTTGGTCTTGAACTCCTGGGCTCAAGTAATCCTCCCACCTCAGCATTCCTAAAGTTCTGGGACTACATGCATGAGCCACTGTGTCTAGCCAAAGTTTTACATTTTTTAAATTAGGAGTGGTATTGAATTTTATCAAGAACATTTTTGATGTCTGTTGAGATAATTATTTTTTCTCCTATTAGTTTTCTAATAAAAACTTATACTGGTTGAACATTGTTTAATATTAAAGTTTTATCAAAGACCCCAAGATATAATAGCTTTGAAAGTCTAAATCATCATTATTCTTAGCAGATATCTAAGAACCTGCTTCATAACTCTTTGTTTCTCTCATCTACTTCAAGAAAATGAAAGGATGTGGAGAATGGAGACAACTACAGAAAGCTGTTGCTTTGCACTCTCCCCTACCTTGCTTTTGGTGGTTGTATGCATAGAGAGGGGAATAATGCAACTTTTAACTTTGGGCCTAGAAGAAAGAGCTTCAGAAGGCCACTAGAACAGTCAACACAAAAATCTCTTAGAATTAATAAGCAATTATAGCAGGATTGCAGGATACAAGCTTAATATACAAAAGCCAATTGCAATTGCTCTTCTATATACCAGCATTGAACAATTGGAATTTGAAATTAAAAACACAATACCATTTATGCTAGCACCCTCCCCAAATAAAATACTTACATATAAATCTAACAAAATACGCAAAATTCTATATGAGGAAAATGACAACATTTTGATGAAAGACATCAAAATGAAGAGATATTCCATGTTCAGGATAAGAAGACTGAGTACTAACAAAGTGCCCATTTTTTCCAACTTGATCTATAGATTCAGTGAAATCCCAGGAATTTATTAATTTTATTTTATGGATATTAACAAATCTTAAGTTTATATGGAAAAGCAGAAGACCAAGAATAGCCACACAATGTTAGAGAGGATGGAAGTCAGAGGACTAACACTACCCAACTTCAAGATTTACTGTAAAGCCACAGTAATCAAGACAATGTGATACTGGCAAAAGAGAAGACAAATAGAATAACGGAATAGAATAGAAAGCTCCCAAGTAGACACAAGTACTCAACTGATACTTGACAAAGGGGCAAAGGCACTACAACAGAAAAGATAGTCCTTTTATCAGGTGGTGCTGGAACAACTGGATATCTCTATGCAAAAATAAATAAATAAATAAAAAATCTAGACACAGTTCTTACATCTATTACAAAAATGAACTCAAAATGGGTCATAGAACTAAATGTAAAACACAAAACTATAAAACCTCTAGGATATAACACAGGAGAAAACCTACATGACCCTGAATATGGTGATGACTTTTTAGATACAATACCAATGGCAATGAAATCCATAATTGATAAGTTGGACTTCATTAAAATAAACAAAACTCCTTGGAAGGAGAAGGCAGGAGGATTTCTTGAGCCCAAGGAGTTCAAGACTGGCCTGGGTAACGTAGCAAGATCTCATCTCTACAACAAATCAAAAGACAAATTAGCTGAGCATAGTCCCTGCCTGTAGTCCCAGCTACTTGGGAGGCTGAGGTGGAAGGATAACCTGAGCCCAGAGCCCAGAGCCCAGGAAGTTGAGCCATGATCACGCCACTGCACTCCAGCCTGTGTGAGAGAGTGAGACTCTAACTCAAAATAAATAAATAAAAACGTCTGCTCTGTGAAATACATTGTAGAGGAAATGAGAAGACAAGCTACAGACTGGGAGAAAATATTTGCAAAAGATATATCTGATAAAGGACTGTTTATCCAAAGTACATGAAAAACAGCAATTAGAAAATGAGCCACTCAACTAAAAACTGGCAAAAAACTTGAACATACACTTCACCAAAGAAGATATACAGATGGCTAATAAGCATATGAGAAACTGCCAAACATCATGTTATTAGAGACTTTTGAATTAAAACAAGAATGAAATACTACTACACACCTATCAGAATTGCTAAAATATGAGACATTGACAATACCAAATGCTGACAAGGATATAAAGCACCAAGAATTCTCATTTATTGCTGGTGGGAATGTAAAATGGAACAGTCCCTTTAGAAGGCAATTTGGTAGTTTCTTACAAAACTAAACATACTTTCATCATATGATCCTGCAATTGCACTCCTGAATATCTAAATGTGTTGAAAGCTGACACCCACACGAAAATTTGAACACATTTTATAGCAGCTTTGTTCATGATTGCCAATATTTGGAAGCAATCAAGATGACCTTCAACAGGTGAATGGATAAATGAACCATGCTCATCCAAACAATGGAGTATTATTCAGGGATAAGACACAATGAGCTATCAAGTCATGAAAAGATATGGAGTGCTGTGGTTTAAACTCATGTTTAGGCTGGGTTCCCGTTCTAGCAGTGTTGAGAGGTAGTGCCTTTAAGAGATGACTAGGGTAAGATGGATTAATTGCTTTCTCATGAGACTGGGTTAGCTTTTGTGGGAATAGATTAGTTTCTGTGAGAGCAGGTTGTCATAAAGTGAGGTTGCTCAGCTGGGCTCGGCGACTCAGCCTGTAATCCCAGCACTTTGGGAGCCCGAGGCTAGTGGATTGCCTAAGCCCATAGTTTCGAGACCAGTTTGGGCAACTTGGTGAGACCTCATCTCTACAATAAGTCAAAAATTACCTGGGCATGGTAGTACGTGCCTGTAGTTCCAGCCATTTGGAAGGCTGAGGTGGAAGGATCACTGGAGCCCAGCAGGTCGACGCTGGGGTGGCTATGAGTGTGCATGCCACTGCATTCCAGCCTGGGTGACGTAGTGAGACTCCAACTCAAAAAAAAAACAAAAAACAAAAAAGTGAGGTTGCTCTTTGGGTCCCTCTTTTGCATGTTGCCACTTCCCCTTCACGTTTCTGCCATGTTCTGATGCAGTCAGGGAGCCCTCTCCAGACACTGGAACTATGCTTTTTGGACTTAACCATGAGCCAAAATAAACCCCTTTATTTTTTTTTTAAAGAAATTACCCAGTTTCAGGTATTTTGTTACAGCAACAGAAGAAGAACTAAGACATGGAAGAAGCTTAAATGTATATTACTAAGGGAAAGAAGTCCACTTGAAAAGGCTGTATAGTATGATTCCAACTATATGATATTTTGGTTTAAGGGGTAAGAGAAATTAATAGGCAGAGCACAGAAGATTTTTATGATAGTGAAACTATTCTGTGTGATACTATAATGGTAGATACATGCCATTATACATTTTTGGAAACCCATAGATCGTGCAACATCAAGAGTGAGCCCTGGCCAGGCACAGTGTCTCATGCTTGTAATCCCAGCACTTTGGGAGACTGAGGAGGTAAGACCACTTAAGGCCAGGAGTTTGAGACCAGCCTGGATAATATAGCAAGATGCCATGTTTACAAAACAATTTTAAAATGAACTGAATGTGGTGGTGCATGTCTGTAGTCCTAGATACTCAGGAGGCTGTGGCAGGAGGATTGCTTGCTGAGTTTGAGGTTACAATGAGCTATGATCATGCCACTGAACTCTAGCCTGGGTGACAGAGTCTCTAAAAAGAAATAAGTAAATAAAAGCAAAACAAAAGTGAATCCTCATGTAAGCTATGGCCTTCTGATGATAATGATGTGTCAATGTAGGTTCAATGACAGTTAGGAATGTACCATTTTGTTGTAGGATGTTGATAGAGAAGGGGGCTGTGCATGAGTGGAGCAGGGGGTATATGAGAACTCCTTGTACTTTTTGCTCAACTTTTTGCTGTGACTCTAATACTGTTCTAAAAAATAAAATCTGTTTCAAAAACCAACAATTGGTGGCTGATGATGAATAAATGAATGGCTTCAACACAGATACTGTGCTGAAGAAAGAATTAGTGAGTAGGAATTAAGATCTGATTAATTTACCCAGAATAGACAATGAAATAGAAAATATAAAAGAGAGAACAATCACGTGAAAGAAAGATGAGGAAGGGGAAAAAAACCCAGAAAAATTCAGGCAAACAAAAAGTACAACATTAGATGTTAAGAACTAATGCAAGTATATACTCACAATAAGAGTAGAAAGAATAAACTTATCAGTTAAAAGATAATGATTACTGGATTAGATATAAACACAACAGGATCCACTTATGTGTCATTTGCAAGTGGCACACATTAGAACATGATGACATAGAAAGTTTGAAAGTGAATGAATGGAAATGTGTGTCTGGCAAATAACTGAAAAAAAGATGATGTAGCTGAACAAATACAAGATAAAAAGCAAAATGCATTACACAATAATATATGGTTCAATTCACCACAAAGTTATATAAGTAAATTTTGTTTACACTTAATAAACAGTGTCAGAATGTATAAGGCATAATTTGCCAGACTAATGAAAAGGCATTGGCAAATCCACCCTCAGAAGGAGATGTAAAAACATACTTCTTAGTAACTGATGGTTGGAGCAGCCTGGATCTCGGGCTATAAAAGATTCACGTAACATGAATAACAAGCTTGTTCTAAAGAATATGAACAGTATGTTGTACACAAACACACATGAACCATCTATAAAAACGGACATGTATCAAGCCATAAAAAAACTCCATACATCTCAGAGGCTCAATTATTGAATTGGATAATTTCAGTATCATACTAGTGATGATCAAATAAAATATAGAAAACATAGTAGTGGCCTAGATGTTCATTCTCCCCTTTGAGGACCTCTTTAAAATCCTATTTTGGATTCTATCATGTGGCAGGTTAAATCATGTTTCCTGTAAACTCCATCAAACGCTGTGGTTTTAGTTGCAGTTGGTCTATTACATGTGTCATTGCCCTGATGATAGCATTATAGAAGTTCTGTAGTTTTTATAGGTTGTGATATAGGATTACTGTCCTATATTATTATTACTAACACAAGAATACTATTAATAACATATAATGTTATCCCTGCACCTTTCCCCATTCCCAACCCTGCCCCAGTTTTTGCACTTTCCCACATCTAGATATCTCATTGAATTAATAAAAGGAAAACAAATTTTGCAGCATTTTCAAGACTGAGCTAAAGAACCCCATTCAGGTATAGGTAGTATCTGTAAAGACCTTTCAGCAAGATACCAAAGATTTGATACCAAAGTGAAAATCACACTTAGGATCGAGTAACAAGAACCTAGGCTAAATTGGGCACTCAATTTATCTCTGAGGGAAAATATTCCAGGTTTTGATATATATATTTGCCTTTTCTTGTCCCTACATTTTTACTTGTAGGATACTTACAGCATTGTGATAATACAGAATCCAATATCGACTTAAATAATTTTTTCAACACTGTTATTCAACCATTAAAAAAGCAAAAACAAAACTGTGTGTCCAAGACCCCAATCAATCAACGAGTCTTAAAGAAACTGAATGTATTCTTCTTGTTGTGTTTTTCTTTTTTCCTTTTTTGATTTTTCTGGAAATTCTGAAGATCACAGAGGTAGAGATGGAAAATACATCTAAGATCAAGAAGACTTAGGAAGGCTTAGGATTTTGAAAGCTATTTTTAGAAGATCAAGTACATGTACATGATAAAGTAGTGTTGATATCACACTCAGTTTATACAATGATCTTTCTAGAAATAACATCTTCAGGAAAATGTTTAACTTTTATTAATTTGATGCTTCTGAACATAATAAAATAAATGAAACTAAAACATAATTTTAGATAACTTGGAAGGGAAGATGAATACCATTTTGGTGAAGATAGCCTGGGTGCGGTTGCTCACTCCTGTAATCCCAGCACTTTGGGAGGGCAAGAAGAAAAGATCATTTGAAGCCAGGAGTTCAAGACCAGCCTGGGTAACATAGTGAGACTTTGTCTAATTTTAAAAAAGAAAAAAAACAGATAATACATAGGAAAGATATGTACATTAAGCAGATAGTCTAAATTCTGAGTTAGGTTACAATAATGAACTTGAGCACAATGGTAAAAAATTTTTACATCATTTCTAGTCTGAAAACCTCAACATTTACTCGAAAATGGACGAGATACCTTGACAATAGACTAACAAAACACGCACTTTCCGTTAGGTGTTACGCAGACACCTACAGGTGTCCCTTTAGGACATGTTGCCCCTCTTCTTTTGCAAAGCTTTCATGAGGTCTGACATGAAATCCTGCTCCCCACTCCCTCCCCCGCTGGGGGGCCCCGGGTTCTCGTGCCTCTTGGGGGGCATAGGAGGTTTTTTGGCGACCGTGGG